TTTTCTTTGTGATGCCATCATTGTAAAACCTTAATCTTTAAAATACAAAGGGTAAAAGACAAAAACAACATGGTCAGATTTATTTTTTCATGAAGATTTCATTAGTATGATTAGATTTAAGTTTCATGTTGTGTGTGCTCGAATTTCTATTTGCAGCTTAAAGTGATAATTAAATTTTCAAATGGGTTACATAGCAAACAATCTTTTCTTCCTCAATTGAGGCTTGGGTTATGTTATGGTGATTGTAGTACAACATATTACAGTGTTTGGAAGCCATGGCCAAGCGCGGGAGTGGGGGGGGGGGGGGTGTTTGTGTGTGGTGAAGAAACTCACTAGGGTTTATAAACTTGAAAATCAAAACTTTGAAAAATTTATTAAAGCTTCAAATTAAGGGGTTCAAAAACAACCTTAGATTGAAAAAGCAAATCGTTTGAAGAGTCAAAAGTGAATTTGAGAGAGAGAGAGAGAGAGAGAGAGTGGGGGAAGATGAAGGGTAAAATTAATAATTTAATTTTTTAATTTATAAAAAAAATTATTTATTTTATAACACGCACTTAATTAGTGTGTATAATTATCGTGCGTTGCAATAAACTAATTCTATTAAATTTGTAGTTTGGTAACAAGTTGGAGGAGATTAAATGAAACTCTTAAAATTAAAGGGGTAAAGTGAGATCGAGACTTAATATAGGACAATTTTTGTATTTTACCCTTTAAAGTTTCAAAATGACACGATTAAAGGTTAATGGATGTAGGGGAAGACTTTTTTGTTTTTTTGCTACAAAATGTCTAGGCTTGTGCAAACTATTTCCTCAAATTTTTAATCAGCCATTATAACTCAAACTACTTTAAGAACATATTTCTTGAGAAATAAGGGCGAATGACCATAAAAGATATAAAAACTATCAAACCTGAGACCCCTTAATTACAAGAGGACAAGTTTGACCACCGACGACCTCTTAGTTAAGTGTACACATTAACAGGCAACTTGTGTAATGTAGTATATGAATATTTATAAATCCAGAATGAATATTTTAAACAATGAGGGTGAATAATCACAATTGTTTATATAATACTTAATTTAAAGTGTTTTTAATTTAAATTTGGTACTCAAATCTTTTTGTCTGATTGAAATATAGAAATTTTAATTTGTAGGGTGTAAATTGAGAATGCAAAAATATTTTGGGTGCAAAGTGTCATTTATCCGAACAATAAATATCACCAAACAAGCGGCTATAAGTGTTATTTCAAAAACGAACCCCTATGGACAAAAACAATGGTAATTGTAGAATGACCACTGACTTTTGTACGATTCCAATTTGCGGTAGAAAATGCAAAAGCTGTAAGAACTTGAACTCCCCATTTGCCACACAGCCGAATGAGCTCAATTATTCTGTCCACCGGCCCTATGACCTTGTTACGACTAGGGCTGTTCACCCTATCCTATGGGTCAGAAATATGTTTTTTCGTCTTTCTACCCGATACTTTACGGAATTTTTTTTTAACCTACCCTACCCGACAGGTGTGGATTCCTACCCGCCTTCCTACCCGATTAAGAAAAGGGTTTGTTTTTTTTAGGGACGAGAGAGAGTGTTCTTGGGAGGAAGGGGAACTGGGAATCGCGAGGATAACATTTCGGTGATCTTGGTTAACTATACTTCTCTTCAGTTGGGCCTGGGTGGTTCTTTTGCCGCCACACTTGTGTAATTAAAGTCACAGAACTCGGCCAGACGACGTCGTTCTAATAATATTTAAGTGACTGTAGTTTTGCCTTTGCACTTGCACTTGCTCATGTACATGTGGGGATTACTTAACTTTCAAGACTTGTTTTAATTGAAGAATCTCGTATGAAATCAGCAAACCCAGATGTGATATTTTAAATTAACGTTTCCTTTCTTTGATTTCCTATAGAATTTTTAGATTCAATCGACAATAACAAGGGCTTCTTTCCAATGTAGCATAAATTTTATACACTATACTTCATTAATCTTAGTTTTTTCTATTCATTTAAGTGGGTCACTTTGAAACAATAAAACCGGATGTTGAAGTATTTTCTGTTTAAGAAGAACAACTAATGTTGACGTAGAAAAAGAAAATCAGAAACTGAAAATTTACATCAGCTGTTGAAATATAATAATATGAATTTACGTTTAAAATTGAAATTCATGTGGATTTAAATCATAATCCTATGATTTAAGTTTCAAATTCAAATATGCTTATCTATTAAAATAGGAAACTCTTAATATAATAAACTAAATCCCATAAAAAAAAATGAGATTGTCAATTTAAATAGCCTAATAAATATGGAAAAAAGTATTTTAGTAAAAAAAAAGTTTGAAAATTTGTCAATGTCTACCTAAATACAATATATTTCAAGTCAAGAACACTTACCTACAAAGAATGTTAGACTTTTAGTCATGATATTTTCTCACAGTTATGTATTTTAAAAGACACCACTTCACAGATTTCCCAAAAAAAATAGGTCTAATATACTTGAGAGCTAATTTTTGTGTTGTGTGTTGGGGGGGGGGGGGGGGGGGGGGGGGTTCTCCTCTATAAGTGGGGCTCTAGTTAGCCATCTTAGTAACCTATGCCTAGAGTCGGCCCTGCCCAAGATTTGTTATGAGAATTCAATTCTCACCTATGAAATAAGCTGTTATTTTGAAATCAAAATTTAAAAAAAGAGAGATAGCTTTCATTCTGTTTTTATCTCCCCTCCAATTCTGGAAGCATTCCGATTACAATCAACTTGATTTATGAACAGAGTCTGTGACAAAGAAGTGAGAATATGAAAAGATGGAAGTTCCAACGGATATATTGCATATTAAGTATTTATTGCAAGAATATGTAGTTTACATGATGATTTCATGGCTGTGTATCAAGTAGAAGAAAAAAACATATAATGATTGAAGTAACTGATATATTCGATGCTAATAAATATTTATTTTTAGAATTATTAGGGCCTTCAGCTCGAAATAAGTTACGGAAACCATTGCATTAGAGACAGAATTCAGAGTATTAATTAAGGGTATAATTGTATTTAAAAAATAGATTTAAAAATTAGACTTGATAATTATAACCATTGAAAAAATGATTAAAGACATGTTAATGTATAGGGATGTTTTAGGTAATTAAAAAATTTTCTTACATTTATACATTTTCGAGTTTTTTAGAGGCCGGTACTTATAGGTCTAATAGGAATCTAAAAAAAAACTTACTCTCTAATTTGTTTTTAGATTAAGTCCTTGTTGAAAAGTCAAAACAATAGACATAACTAATGCCCTTTAAAGTTTCAAAATTTACGATGATACCATCAAGTAATTAAAACACTTATTCTAAAAAGTTACATAATCATAATGTACCTTCTTATTCATAAATACTGATCATTAGACAGATATACTAAAAAAAGATGACATATAATTGGTCGTTCGTAGGTACATTAAGATACATTTATTAATAAGGGTTAAATTCAGTGTATCTCTGAGAGAGATACATTGAGATGGAGAAACGTTTTTTCGATTAACTACGCAATTAACACTATAATGAACATATATTTAAACTTCTTCATTTGCCCTATGGAAATACCTCTATAACTGGCATATCAAAAAATCAAAATAGAAACACATAAAATAATGAATTAGTCAAGGGAGCAAAAAACACAGAGTAGCATATAAATGTTTATAAGTTTCCTCAACGAAGCACATGCCAAACCATCAAAACACATCCAAGTGAACAAGAGGTAACTAAAATATTATCATAGAAGTTATGTATCCATCCTCAGTAAAATTAAAAATTAAATATGACAGGTAATCAAGCTTACAAACATTTATAATTACACACACAAAAAAATGAATTAACAAACACAATAGGTATATGTACGCAACATATTATATACGACGAACAACATATACGATCATTTAGATACATTATACGAGTATATACATCTAAGAGATAGGTAAATCAATATTTAATTGAGAAGAAGGTACATATACACCACTACAGGGAATTTGAACCCTTGACCTTAAGAAAGCAAAACCTTGACAAGACAAAGAGTACCATTAGACCAAAGGTCCATTGATAAAACCATAAAACCAAACACAATTCAAAATTACGTAATCATAAAAAACATGTACCTAAACCTACCAACGAATACGTAAAACTTAACTATTGCGATCTAATTTGTATACCTACCAAATCAACGCTTAAAAAACGACCAGTATATTTTAAATTGCTTGGTTCACAAATTTAAAATATAAAATTGATATACAACATTACAAAATTCTCAATAACAAACACAAAAAAAATGGAACTAACTGTATTTTAGACTAAAATCAGGTGATCAAGGCAAAATGGACAATGAAAATACACTAATTGTTCAACCCCTATACATTCATGCCCCAACATGGACCGCATGCAATTTTTTTAAAAAACACGGAAGGCTTTTTTATATAATAAAAATTCGATAGGAATAAAATTAATTTATACATCACAGAAAGGACCCTAGCCTAGTTAACCATACAATTTATAGTAGCATCTAAGTTTACTAATGGACTTTTGGTCCAATTGTGTTGTTTGTTTTGTGAAGACTCTCTTTTCTTGAAATTAAAGGTTTAAGTCTCCTTTCTCCTCTCCTTAAAAGAAAAAAGATGCGTTCAACTAAGCTTAGAAAAAGGGGAACCAAGTGTTTACAAAAAAAAAAAATTAAAAATGCAAAACTTAAAAAGCTTGACAAACAAAAATAAAAAATTTAATTCAATATCAAACATTACTTAATTCCTTTGACTCAAAACTTTTGAAGCATTAAGCAATTATTTTATTTCATGCTGGGTTGACATTACTTTTAATAAAAAAAGAAAAAAAAAGTTGAACTTGAATGAAATTCCAACATAAACTTGCCATAATAATATGGGTTTCCAAGTTGAATTACATATAATCAAAAAGAGACTAAGTAGTTGGGTAAATGTTGAATACTGACTTTGCCTACCATATCGTCTTTGTCTTTGTTAAAATGAGCTTAAAGTCTCTATAAAGTCTGCTTCTCTGTAATCCGTAAAAAATATTTTAGAAAAATAAAGTTCACTATAAGCCAACTGGCATAGCATGAAGTTGCTGACTCTACATTCGCCACTTGTCCGTATAAATAGATCAGGACTGGGGAATTTGGTCCACTTTCTTTGCAGCTCTTGCTCAGTTAGGCTCTCCTCAATATCTTGCAGTTGAATAAGACCATCTTTTACTTTGCTAGACACGCTTTTGCAAGCTTTCAATATCTCATATCTTCCACCGTAACCAAGCGCTACCATAAGACGGAGTCCTGAATTTGCCTTCAAGGCCACCTCTGCTTCAGATAATATTTGCTCTATAGACCTAGGGAGTGGCGATTTATTCCCAATCACAGAAAACCGAACATTTTGCATGTGAAGAAAATAATAGCTCAAACATGGTGGTCTATATAATAAAACACAAAACTCCTGAAGGCATCTATAATATAAAACATGACATACTTCAATAAGTTCATTTGACGGTCTCAAATAGACTCATTCAACGGTTATCAATATTCTTATCAAAATCATTCATATTGAATTCTCCCGCTCCCGGTTAAAAAAAATCATCACTTCTCACTTATATTGTATCTTAAAACTTGCATATTTACCATAGTGTGAATGTATTTTATGTATAACCCTGATAAAGATATTTTAAACACACCATATTTCACCTCAGGCCCTTGTGTCTTGAAAATTGGAATTTTTTTTGGTGGCTGGTCCTATGTAGTACACTTTTAAGGTGCGCGTACATTTTTTTTTTGGTCTTAAAGAAAAAAATCTATTTCAAAAAATCCATTTACGCTTTTTTAATGATCATCATACAAATTACACATTTCAAAATTTAAAATCTCCTTCATTTTGAATCTTACATGTGTGTGTGTGCATGCATTTTTATATATATACATTTGTATTCTTGAAAAAAACACAACGAAGACAAAAACGACAAACCATTGATTGAGTCATGATACTACGATTCCAAAAAGTGGTGTTTTATATATTTGTATATATATACTTATACATGTGCTAGAAGAAGAACATAAAGATGTTTAATAAGCGAAAGCTTGAATGTGCTACAATTAGGGCCAACAAATTCAAATGACAATAACTTATATGTTTCATTGCCCAAATTGGACTGTGAAAAACATATGTCACTACCCAAAAATTCAAATGACAAAAACATATATCTCACAATCCAAATTAGACAGTGAAAATATTTTTTACTTCCCAAAGTAATGTCATCAGATTCGGATTGGACATTGAATTGATAGAAGGATTGAATTAATGGTTCATTGGTTCAACCGTTGGATTAACTAGTCGATTTGGTTATATAATTAAAAATATATAAAATATAATATTGTGTATGGCTTGACTGTTGAATTAAATGTGTGTATTATTAACTATTGAACTTATATTCAATATTGATGAGTCAAGCCCATGGGCCTAACTCAAATTATAAGCCCTATCCAAGTTTATAGCCCAATTCAATATTGATGAGTCAAGCCTAGGAGCCTCACCCTCGTACCTTGGAGAGAATCAATCTCCCTCATCCTTGACCAAGTCCTTTGGAGACCAACATAAATTCCTTGCCGGTTGAGGAGAGGAGAGGTCGCCAAGATATTTAATTACTATTAAACGGGGCCAACCCGTTATGACCGTTAGACTAGATATTCAATTACTTCACCAAACCATTATAAATTATATACCCCACCAACACTTAAGGGGCATTAGACTCATTTGAGCATAATTCTCTCCTCCCCTCTCAAAACTTGTAATCTTGTGCGAGATAATAAAATTTTAACGATCCTTATCATTCAAAATGGACGTAGGTCATATTAACCGAACTACTATAAACTTTGCCTTCTCTTTCCCTCTATTTTATTGCATTTTATATTACTTAATTGACAGGTGGTGTGCAAACCAATTTTGTGCATCATCGCGCAGTCTGTGGGAATAACAAAATTCTCACATAAACACTTTCTTTGCTGAATAAAAGGCGATCACCGCCGGGATCCATGAGTTAACTTGAAGACATTCCATCACGAGAGGAAGAGGTTGCTCCTCCACCGGCCAATCCCATCCCAATTGTGCAGCAGATGCTGGACACAATTTAGCAGCTTATAGTTCAGAACCAGTATATTCTACAATTGATGCTCGGGCAACAAGGAGAAGCGCAACCTGGAACTCAAGCCAGAGGAGCTTCACTCCTAGGTCATCAAGGAGCTCCCCATCTCGGCGCTCCACCTATGGAAGCTCCCTTAGGCGCCCCACACAGAGGGCCCCATCATAAGGAACCTCCTCCTTCAGCCTCTGCTCCTGTTCCCATGGTGTAAACCCTCTTTTCCAAGAGGATGAGGTTGAGAACCAAAACATGGAGCATGAGAGCCATGTCCGTGATAATTCCAAAGGACCTCCTCCCAATCGTTGGGATGAAAAAATTAACAAGGTGCAAAATCAATTAGGAGACGTCTTCAACGCCATAAAGGCACAAGGACTCGAAACAGTGGACTACCTCGTAAATCAAACCGACACATCTTTCAAACTTGACATAGGAAACTACCCACTCTCTCAAAAATTCAAGATGTCATCCGTCAAAACCTTTGACGGTACAAAGGATCCACTGGACCACCTTGAAACTTTTAAGACCTTAATGCAACTGCACAACATCCCCGACGAAATTATGTGTAGGGCATTCACAACTACCTTGACAGGATCAGCGTGATAATGGTTCACCAAACTCACTCCGGCTTTCATAGGCTTCTTCACCGAACTGAGTAAATCCTTTGTGACATAGTTTATTGGTGGACGTCGTCAGCAGAAGCCTGTCACCCATCTGCTCAGCATAAAACAGGATCGAGATGAGTGTCTAAGAAGTTACTTCACTTGTTTTAATGAGGAGGTCCACCAAATCGAGGAGCCCAATGACAAAGTCACCATGACCGCCTTTCTAGGAGGCCTCTGCTCATCGAGTTTCCTATTTTCAGTAATGAAGAGACCACCAAATAGCATGTTAGAACTATTGGCAAAAGCTCAAAAATATATGAATGCTGAGGAAATCAACAAGTCTAGGCAAGGTGAATCATCTTACAAATCGCCAAAAGCTTGATCTGCCTCTGTACTGTTCTCAAACAGGTAGCCTATCTCTAATTTAGCAGCTCTGTCACGGGTTGCTAAAAAGATTGACCTCTACACTGTTCTCAAACAAGCAGCCTATCTCTAGCTGAGCGACTCCCGCGGGTTGCCAAAAGCTTGGCCTCTGCTCTACTTTTAAGTAAGCAGCCTATTTCCAACTGAGCAGCTCTCCCGCAGGTTGCCAAAAGTTTGGTCTCTGCTCTACTCTCAAGCAGATAGCCTATCTCCAGCTGAGCAGATCTCTAGAGTCGCCAAAAGCTTGTCTTTGCTCTGCTCTCAAGCAAACAACTTATCCCCAACTGAGTGGCTCTCTCGCGGATCGCCAAAAGCTTGGCATCTGCTCTGCTCTCGAGTAAGCAATCTATACTTCAAGCTTAAGGATTCTCTTATGGGTCGTCAAAAGCTCAATTTTAAAAGATGTAGCCTTTTTATGAACAATCCTCAAACTCTATTTTTGCTCTCGTACAAGTAGCCTACCTCTCTCTCTAGATAATTATGTTAGATATTTTAATAATTGGAACAACATTATTTTTATCATCTCTAGTCAGGCTCTTGAAAGCTCAGGTCGTTTGCAACCCGAGAGACTACATTAAATTGAATGTCAACGATCGAGTCTCACTCTTTTGTGTTCATCTGGCACCGCCTCCTCGTTGCCGCAGCACCCTGCGCTTAACACCTAGCGCAAACAAGCTCTACTTACGATTGCCTCTAAACAGCGCACCCCCATCATGATCAACAAAATCACCAACCAACAGTGCCAAGTACCATGGGCTCCTCTCCAGCGACGCCCATCACCATAGGGGCCTCACCAGCAGTGCCTAGCACCATGGCCGCCTCTCTATTAGTACCCAATGAACTCCCAATTGACAAGACTGCCAAGGCACCCAGCCTGCTTGCTCGAGGCAAGCCCATACACCTACTCGCCTCCCTCTTTCGTTGGCTTGCTAGCTAAAATTGGGGTTGCCACAGCCTGGGCGCCCAACGCCTCCTCCTCACACCTAACGCCACAGCCGGCGCGCCCAGCTCACCTAGTTACGGGAGCCTCCTCTTTCTCCACTCCTTCGCCTACAGACTACTTTAGAATGGGCGCCCATGACATCTCCACACCTGCTCCCAATGCCTCCCCCTCTTCTCCGGGCTCTCCACCAAGATCCACAAGCTCCTCTCTATTCAACATTGATCAAAGCTTTCAACTCAAGAGCCTCACCTATATGTTCTTAGAGGATTTCAAGAAAAGGTCTCCTTCTCACTCAAGATTGTATGGAATGGGGCTCTTCAAAAAAAAATGAAAAAGAAAGTTTTCATAGTTAATGGAGTCCCACAGGTAAAAGGAGTCTACTAGAAGGGAGGGAGTCGACAATCAAAAAGAGTCTTCAAAAAATTCAAATTTAAAAAGGGCTGCACGTTATTTTGACTGTAGCTTTTAATCCGAAACTCTAAATAGGGCTTATTATATATCAAATCGAAGCTCTTGACGAGCCATACAAAACTCATTGCTTAAATCAATAAAAGACACTGTAAAAAATCCAAAAAAGGCTCAGAAACAGATATTTTGGTCTCCCGAAGATTTTTCAAAAAAAAAAAAACTTAGCTGCTTTCCCTAGACACTGCGAGCACGCCTAGGACACTGCCTGCTTGCCCTAGAAGCTGTCTGCTCGCCCAAAAACACTCACCCAGCTCGTTATTTTGACCGTAACTTTTGGTCTGTAAGTCAAAATAGAGCTTATTACATATCAAATCGAACTCTCGACGAACTGAGAAAAACTCATTACCTATGGTAATGAAATTTTCAAAAAAAGTCCAAAAAAGACCCAAAACTAAGTGTTTTGGCCTCCCGAAGTTTTAAAAAAAAAAAAAATTCTACTCGCCCAGAAAGTTGGCTGCTCGCCCAAATTACTCGCGTAACTCTCTGCTCGAATTTTTGACCATAACTTTTGCTCCATTACTCCAAACGAGGCTTATAATGTATCAAATCGAAGCTCTCGATGAGCAGGACAAACAAATGTTTGGCCTTCTAAAGTTTTCAGTTGTGCTAGTCAGCCAAAAATTTAAACTGAATGCCCTCCTTTCCAAATTCCATTAGACGCAGGGCATTGGAGAGCAAATGATGGGGCAAGTCGAAAGACCTAACTCAAATTATAAGCCAGTCTGAGTTTATAGCCCATCTCTAAGAGATCCAGTAAGTCCAGCTCAATGTTGTCAATCCGGACAAGCTGATCAAGAATCAAAGAGCAACATCAGTAGGGAGTATGCAGGGCCATCAAAGAGTCTCCTCTCCCACTTGGAGTAAGTGTCATCCAAGAACCTTCTCTACCACCTTGGAGTAAGGGTCATCCAAGAGCATCCTCCTCGCCACATTGGAGTAAGGGAGCATGTAGGAGCCTCACCCTCGTAGCTTGGAAAGAATCAATCTTCCTCATCCTTGACCAAGTCATTTGGAGAGAACCATAATTCCTTGCCAATGAGGAGAGGAGAGGTCACCAAGATATTTAATTACTATTAAACGGCTCCAACCCGTATGACCGTCAGACTAGC